CGTCCATTTCAATGTAGATTAACCTTCCCGACCTTTACTTTGTATTATAAACCTTGTATTGAGGATCATATTGGAGTTTCTTTACCTCAACGGCTATAAATTTGAATGTCAAAAACATGGTTTTAGTCAAACTTTTTCGAAAGGTTACATAAGATAATAGCACATTTTTTGTTCGTGTAAGTTGAATCTAAAGCTTATCTTTAATTTGGCATGTTTCCAAATCCTAAATTAGTTTTTTGGAGCAAAACACCGCGTTTCAAAAGGGGGTCTGCAGAGAGAATATAAGTGAGAACAACTAGATACCGGACAAATTGATGGTTTATTTTTAAAATATTCATTGTGCAGCAAATTTCCAATCAGTAATCAAAATTCAAACATCCGTACTTATATTAAAAATGTGAAAGTAAGTTTGTTTGATTGTTAAGTTTACGTTTAAAAAAATATTTCACCAATGGAAAGCTACAATATCAACGAGTAACACAAACTTTTTTACCGTGATAACCGACATGCACGCGGGCGGAGCTGCGGGTAAAAGCTAGTATATGATACACCAATTTCATCTTTAAAAACATAGACCCAATTTGGCCCGAAGTCTAAAACGCTGTCACCAATTTACGCACTATTTATTTTCTTTGTGATTGTGTTTCATTGTTTTGTTTTCCTAACCCAATGTTTTCTTTGCGTCGTCTGTCCCATTGGGCACACAGAATAGAAATACAACTCAACGAAATTAATAAATCAACATTTAGCATGATTTATAGAAAACAAAAGCTTGATAATAATAACATCTTATACATTGGTACTTTTTATTTATGTATATAAAGAGGCCAGACATCATATCTCATTCTCATTTAATGGTTATTTCCCAGTTTTACTGACATCAAAAAGACTTTCGATATTTCGTTTGTTTACCGATTTCTCGAGACAGTTAGCAACTGTAAGAAGGATAAACTTCTTCAATCAATCAAGATCAATCTAAACCTGTATCACCAAAGTTCTCAAATATTTAAGATAGATACAGAGTACACCAGCTGTAGGGCTATTTGTCAAGTGGTTGAGCTCGAGCCGGCCGTATTGTAGGCCTTATGTAACTTAGTGAACGTCACGGAACTTGTTCTGTGGTAGACGTGCCCTGAATTTAACATGTTCAGGCCGTTATTTTCCGTTGTGTATAATAGGCATCGCGATTATAAGAGCCATTTAATTATTGTGTTTGTAATATCACTAATTTGCGTATAGTAATGGATCCCGCCGAAAACCCCGATGGGGTGACAGGCAAAGAGGGTCATACGTACAAAAAAACTGTACATCAGTATAACAGCATAAATTAATGGAATGTAAACTAGAATTAAAATGGAAAACTATTTTCTTTCTTGCTTTTTATGAATAACCTGTTTTTAGATCAGACAGACTACTAAAAGACACAATAAATATTAGGATTATTTTAAGGTTTAGGCCTACCGAAACGGCTTTATAAATATTTTCATATTTACTTAAGAAAGGCGGAGGCTGAGGAGGGAAGGTTTTAATCAGATTGGCACTGCGCCAGTTGTTGTTTTCGTCTAAATTTAAATTGCTTAATTTAATTTCTCATTTGTTTACCAACGATATGTTTACGATCCGCACAAAGCGTTCATATTTAAGTAAACAAGAATTTATGAGCTGAATTTAGATTGTATTGTCAACTTAATACTTCCTATAAATTAGAGGAAATGTTTACAATTTTGTTAATAACAACACCAAATACGACGCAATTCGAAAACCCGACCCGCAATGTGTGTGATTTTATGAATATACGTATCAATTATTATATATATACAGTACAGGTGTAATCTTATAAGGTATTAGTTTCAAGTGAGTTGCTCATTTTCCCTCTCACAGCAAAATACAAGTTCAGCTATGAAAGTCCCACCATAGAGAAGGTTTTAATACATTTGAGCCATAAATCAATATAAAGCTTTAAGCTACCAGCTTATAATCGTATTAGAAAAGGTATCGGGTCGCTACGAGCCCGGCCGTCGTGTTGCCACGGCGACGTAGGCTTGCGAGGAACGATTCAAAATAATTGTGGTAGAATAAGAAGATATTATAAAATGGCCGACGAGTAGTCAGATACATATAATTAGGTATTACGGTTTGTTTGCTTTACGTATCACAAAATATCTATTAGTAATGGAAGAAGAAACCTCTTTGTACACCTTTTTAAACAGATAGTTGGAAGTTAGAATTCTATACAGAATCAGCGATACAAAAAAACTGTTGGCTTCTTCGGTCACACTTAAGGTAGGCCCCATAAAAACCTGACAGTTGCATTAAACATTTTTACGTTTTTCTAAAATACAAAAAAGATGTAAAATACATATGATTTGCAAAAGAGCGGCATACATATATGTACTTACCACTGTCCAAAAGATAGCTAGAATATTATCTTTTTCTGATGAAGAATGTTCATGGATGTATCATTAAGAGCTGTGTTCAGCGGTGGATGTACTTTTAAAATAGCTTAATAAATTTTTCATAAAATTATTCAAATAATTAAAATTATTCATAAAATACCTATAAAACGCAGCCACATATCACTAATACTTATGAGCCGGTATTATCTTGGAGTAAGTTCACGCTGACAACCTTTCCGTGCATTTACAGGGTGTTATCTGCATGTAAAATATATGAGCATTGCAAGACTATGTTCAAAACTCCTGAAAATTCCTCCTTAAAATATCTATATACCTCGTTAGCCATTATTCAAAACTTTGGCTGCGTACACAATATACATTCGCAGTGGAAAGCAATCCATTTGTGTGAGCCCCCAGGGGGTGTTTTGTGACACGACACATAAAAGCCTTTAATGGTATCTAAGTCTTTTCACTATGCTTTAATAATATAACCCGTGAATGACCTACAGATAGGTTTACTTAGAAAATAGATTGGCAGGTGGGATGATAAAACAGTATAGTGTTGTTTTTAAATGTATTAACCGTGTACCACAAAATAATGTATTTAGGTAAACTATACTATGCCTTTTTAATCAAATTTGGCACGTAAAACTTTTTAATTTTGTAATACTTATTGTTAATATGTTTAAGAATGTTTATAAAATTAAAAAAATAATTTAAAACGCCCATGTAAAACTATCCAGATCCATCAGACTTTGGCCAGTAATATGGTATTAAAGTCTACGTAAAGACGGTTCTCCTTATAATCAATTATATAAACCAATGCATTAAACCATTGAAATTGAATCGCTGATATATGCCATTAGTTTATATACTAAACGACCTGTATACAGTTAAAGGAATAACATTTCAAAAAGCTAATACAAATTCAGCCCACGTATTAGATACAAATCTCAAGTATTACTTACAATATTACGCATATCTCCGGCCGAGATATTACTTTGTCTAAAAACAAAGTAGGTAGTATTCTTCACTCGGAAAGTTTTTCCTAAATTCGGGGTAAATTTATTTATTTTTGACTACACGTAATTCGATAACCAGCCTAATACCATCTACCGGGCCGGTTTCTAGATTATCTTGAGAACTACCCATAGGCTCCGTAGCTCATTTCAGAAGTACAGAAACCTCCTGTTGTAGTGTGTGTACTGTGTGTTGTGTCATCCTCTACAATTCTACAAAATTATATCAATGCGAGGACGGGGCGGTCCTTACCGTTGATGGTGAATAGCTGTGGGTTCGTCGGACGGTCTCGTAATAGCGCACACGAATATTCAGATGTCTAATCAGTTTAGCCTGTCTAACTTAACTCCTTAATAGAATTTAATAACGTTTAGCTCGACCCGGTTGGACTAGAGTGAAGTAATGTAAATATGGTTAGAGTGAGAGCTTTTGTCCAACCATCGTTCAGATACGACGACTTTCAGTAACTAACAACCTATATAACGTATACTATATTTATATTTTCTAGGTAAACTTAAGTAAGATTTTTTGCAAAATCTTAGGAACATTGCAAACAGTTTTGGCATCCCCGAAACAAAGCCTTATTGTCTTTGTACACGAGAGATTTTCGTACGCAGAACATTATTATTTGCGGAATGTTAAACAATTTATATGAAATATTCCGTTCCGTATTAAATTATCTCAAATGAGATACCTACTTTTGTGAATGCCTATGGATGAAAGTTTGCGGGTCTTAGTTGACTTTGTAATTATTTTAAGCAATGATTTATTGAGTTGAGGTGCATCACCCGTTAAAGTTCTGAGCTGACTTAGAAGTTACAATTGAAGTAAAGAAGAAGCCCAAAGATGCTTTATAGCCAATATCCTGTAATAGCTGTGATATATAGACGTGATAAAATTTAAAACTTGATATAAGCAATATCGAGTATTAATGCAATTACTTGCTGCCATCTACCTTATGTAGGCCAAAAACTTAGAAAGGATTCTAAGGAGAGGCTTATTTCCAGCAGTGGACTATTATAGTTGATGTGTTGATGATGGAGATGATGATGATGATGATGATCTACCTCATGAACTTTCAATCTCATTGTTTTCTTATATTTCTTTCTTTTAACATTTACAGTAAAGAGGTAAATATTAACAAAAACAACTACAACATGATATGTGTGAAAAATAATTGAATTATTACACTAAACTACATAAATAGAAGGACTTTCGTCGTACTTACTTGTAATTATTTTATTATTATTATTAAGTGTTACTCGTAAATAGGTTATTATATGACATGTGTCTGGTTAGTATTGTTTACGGTTCTGCTTAATTTGAAATAGGCAATATAGTCTATCTGCAACATTTTATTAACCTTGGCCGTTATAATCGTGTTGTTGTTAGCGGAACGAAGAAATTCCTACCTGTACAGAATCGTGCTGTTTTAACAAAAAATAATATCGCGTCATTATACCTAATTGTTGGCATTGCATTCCTAAATTTCACCATGTTGGAGTGCAGTATAAACTGAATAATTTTGAAATTACAAGACAAATCAACTAAGATAATTTAATTTGTTCTCTTTCTGTACTATAGCTATGAAAATGAGAAGAATGCCCTGGTGGTATCGGTGGTTTCGTGCCAAGGCCTGCCGGGACGGGAACCAGCTGGACCTGATCCTTATGTCAAACTGCAACTGCTCCCTGATAAACAGCACAAAGTGAAAACAAGGTACCTTACCAATACTCTAATTGTACCCGACATAAAAAGCCATTGAGGTCAGAATCGTACCTAGCTACTAAAATTACTGTAAATTATTTCAATTTCAGAATTGTCTTAAAAGTCTTCTTTTTTGAAAGAGTTAAAAGTCGTGCATATGTGTGTTAAAACTATTTGATGAAATGCTGATAAATACTATTTAAATTAAAATATTTATCATCATCGTAATCATCTTAGCAATGGAGCAATGGAGAGGGCAAAGTTTCTCTGCGTGATATAATCAGGAATTAGGAGATCGGACGAACCAAAGTCACCAACATTGCTGGGAGAATTGCCAAACTTAAGTGGCAGTGGATGGGGCATATTGCTCGCAGAAAAATTATAATATTAAGAATACATAATATCAACAGGCGTTTTTTTTTCAATTTGATATCCATGAAAATATCCGAGTCATTTATGTTCATCAACTTCCATAGATAAACACAGATGAGAGCAATACAAACTACTTTAACACATATTTCAACCGTCAGGGTGGTGCGTAAGACCCGTTGCCCGGTATATGATGAAGACTTCACGTTCTATGGGATCGCCCCGCACCAGATTACCGCCATCACTCTGCATTTCGTCGTACTCAGCTTTGACAGGTAAACCCTCAAAACATTTAAGTACTGTTCACTAAATTATAAATCCGGTTATAAAGTAAAGATTAAGTTTATCAATTTTTGAGTAATAGAGAAATTGTGAAATAATATTTAGTGTCTTTTGTAAAAGTCTGCTGCCTGCAATTGGAAGCTTCACGAGAAAATGTGACTTAACGCAAATAGTTCTGTAGTAGCTTGCATTATATCATTATTGCGATGCAAAACTGTTATAGGTTGTAAGGATGCTCCTACTACCTACTTATTGATGTAACTGTTTATTAAACGGTTTTTTTTTCACAGATCGTGGCTCCACTTACCGTAGAGTATTTTTCTATCCTCCGGTATCAGATAAGCTCCTTCAGTTCTGAATGAAAAGTACCCTACGTTTTCTCTGTATCCCTGGTATAAATAAACAAACATATACTTAAAATTTGTGCTGACATCCATATTTAGATGAACATGTCTACAACAATTTTATCTTTATTAGTTACGCTTGCGTAATTATTTCTAATTTAGTTTTTCCAACTTTGAATAAGATGAACTTAAATACTACCGGTCAGTCTTATTTTACCTCAGAGGGATTTTTTTTTAAGAATTCTTTCTTAGTGGGTGCTTATAACATAAAGAGAATCAGTTGCCAAAATCCCCAGTACCCCAGCGGTTTATGCTCCACGTTGATGTCATCATCAGTCAGAGCGAGTAATTTTAAAATGTATAGATTTTTTGATATCTGTTGTTGTCTCCCTTTCTGTCCGTGTATATCACTTGGTGTTAGCAGAATACCAGCGCTACTTCCTCAACAGGTGTTCTCTTTATCTCTTATACAAAGGCTTAACAAAATGAATTTCTATATTTGGTTCTCTTTCTTTCAAAATGTCCCTACCGCAACGACATATGGCAAAGATAAACTAGATTCAGCAGCGTGGAATGACAATTGTCACAAATGATTTTTACAAAAAAATTCTCTGCTGCAGTAAAGTCTGCCAGATACCTAAGATCATTTTGTTGTCTAAATTTTATTTTCTTAGCCGCTACCAATCATAGGGACAAGATGAAGCATAAAAAATGTTTCTGTAAACATAAATGCCGTATTTTTTCTTCTTTTGTAATGAATTTAAATAGTAATGTGAAAGGAAATTCATTATTATTATGAAATACCAGTAACAAAATATAATACTGGTAATACTGGTAACATATTGTAATAGTACTTACGACTCGACGACGATTTTTTACCATTTTGTTTTTTTGACAAAAATGTAAGCGAACATTGATTTAAGAAATATACAGAACTATTAAAGATTCTAACGTTATTCGTATCTTTTAATCATGTTTCAGATATTCCCGTGATGAAATAATTGGTGAGGTGGTATCCCCGCTGTTAAACTTGCAACTTCACAGTGGAGAGGCGATGGCGCTTTGCCGCGAGATCCAACCGCGCAGTCTCAAGGTAAAACCTCTGCACCATGAAGAGCAAGATCTTCAACTGCCTTTGAAAAGCTTTGCATGTGCCGAACGCAATAATAAACATTAATTTGTTCATCAATTTCTTTTGATTAGGTAATCGAAGTGAAACAAAAGTATTTCTTTTATTAGATTGTGTTTTATCGAATCATTACAGATGAATGAATGAAAAAACTAAAGATTTTCTCATGATCAAATAAGAGTTTAATTTTAATAATATTTTTAATCCTTGTTGAGCCCTTTTTGAATTTTGGAAAATACTTTACACTCGTATAGACACTTGGTAGTGTTAAAACAATGAAATGACTTCATAAAGTAGTCATATCCCGTGGTTCATGGTCGATAATTAAAATATACTGGTGTATTCTAAGGTCCATCAAGATATATCTATTATAATAATATTAAAAAAAATATGTAATCTGCCCTAAGTCCATCTGACCGGTCTACCTAAATGGTTTGATTTTTTTAATTGAAAGGATACAGATTTCTTCATACTTATATTAAGCAAAGAGGTGTATAGATAGTTCAACTCAGTTGTGCGCGCGGCCCTATGTGTGAGTGGGCTTGTAAATATACAACTTTCATTCGTGTGGCAGTGACGCAGCAGTCGTCGTCCGAGCAGCACACGAATGAAAGTTGTATATTTACAAGCCCACGCACACATAGGGCCGCGCGCACAACTGAGTTGAACTATCTATAACACAAACTTAATTTCCTTTAACACATTTTTGTTTGCATAATCTTCTTGCGCAATATATCTGGTTCTAATTAAGTTACGTGGTTGGTTTTGGTCTTAAAACACTCGCAGCTGTTTTTAATTATAACTTTTACAACCTTAACTTTGTTGAGTTCAAAGCAAGCAAAATGTAACATTCAAATTAATTCTGTGGGGAAACACGAAACGATTTAGACACTTAAGCTTTTAAATACTCGGTATTTTTCAGCTTTAAAGTCCGGGTTGTTAATACTAGACTACATACATATATCCGTGTATAATATTACAGATGCGCAGCGTTGGCCGTGGTGAGGTGCTGGTGTCGCTGTGCTGGCAGCCGGCCGCGGCGCGCCTCACCGTGGTGCTGCTCAAGGCGCGCAACCTGCCCAAGATGGATGTCACTGGACTTGCTGATCCGTGCGTATATAAGACAATAGATCACTAACTAATTAATGCGCCGAGTTATTGACTATTACATCTGATTTGTCTTCACTTCTAGTGTTTAAGTAATTCGGTCTTAGTTGTTTTTCTTTTATCACAAGTTAGTAGGCATAAACACTCCAGAATACCTTAAATTATTTAAAAATAAATCTACTAATAGTCCCTTTACATTTTAGCTTTTTTTTTGTTTTAAATGGATGTTTGTGCACAAATTTGTTCTCAAGCAATGGAAGTCGCGTTTCTTTCATTTCAAGGTAAACACACACAAAATCGTCCTACACCTCTGTCATGTTTTTATAGCTATAGTAAGATACAATATTCGATTCGGTCTAAAAGTACTCGCTGGAACAAGCTGTTAATGAATTTAAGCTTTTGCTTCGTTGAGTTAGATGCAAGCTAGGTTTGATCTGAAAAACTCTGTATGATTTAAATTTCTAGATATTTTAATATGCTAATTTCTTACATAGAATAAAAAATACTATGTTAGTATTGTCACAGTAAAACTATAAAGCTTGAATTTAAAAAGAAAAAACGAAATCGAATTTCAATTTAAACGTTAATTTAGCAATTAACAATTTCTAGATATGGACATTTGTTTCCTTTTTAAGGGGCAACTACGAATAATTTTGTCAAACTATCACAGGCATTATTGCAATTGCATTTGCAGCATTGCAATATAATATGCCTAACTTCGATAAATCGAAAACCACTTCTTTTTTAGAAGTAGACCATTTCACACAAGTCTATTCTTATCAGCTTTCTAAAAATACAGTTTTGTAATTTTTACTAGATGCACAAAGAGGCTCATTTAATGTTATAAACTTTATACCTTGTCAGATACGTGAAGATGTACCTACTATACAACGGCCAGCGCATCGCCAAGAAGAAGACACACGTCAAGAAGCGAACTCTGAACCCTGTTTTCAACGAGTCGTTCGTGTTCGAAGTGCCGGCTGCTCCTAACGCTACCCTCGATCACGTGTCCCTCGAGTTGCTGGTGCTGGACTGGGACAGGGTCACTAAGAATGAGGTAAGGTCTTCACTATGTAAATATTTGGAACAAATGGATTAATATAAAATAATAAAAGATATAGGATAAAATAAGATTACGGTCTTATTATCATGTTTATCGTTTAGTTGGTTTTCAATAAGATATGATATTATTGGCGTTAAATCGAACTAAAATTCAAAATTGTAATATACACAATTTTTTTAACAAAAAGCTTTTTTTTTTGGTTTTTAATATTAGCGTGAGTCCTTTTTCATAGCAGAAGACGTTGTGCCACTAAAGTAGCCTAGTTAAAAGATAAAAGTATTGTTTTTAACCGTCGGATATCATTATGGATTTATTATATACTTTTCGTATAATTTAAATTTTGCGTTTGTGTTTCTTCTCGAAAAAGAAAACATAGATAATTCTATATTCAGTTCATTTTAGTAGTTGCTTAATTGTACTAGGCACAGAACATTGAATAAACTGTTCTGTGGTAGTAGGTGTTCATTGTTTTAGACCTTAATTAATATAATTAACCTCAATTAATATACATAGACGTCAGGTGTCTATGGACGCTTGGCAGATGTGGAGCGGATGGTTTATTTCAGAAAATAACTGTTTTTTTTTTTTTTATAGAAATAAATTTAAATTTTAATAGAAATAAAACACAGGTAACGTGGTTCGTTGTAAGCACCAGCATTAAATCCCCAACAGACTTATAGGCGGTGTAAGTATGTAGAAGAGGCGGGTATGCAAAAGAATTGTAGACTTAAGAGTACCTACATCAACAGTCGGTAAGACCCGGCGCATTAGACGATTTATTTGATAACAGAAGTCTGAGCCATGTCCGTTTTCTGTTGCAGGTGATCGGTCGGTTGGAGCTGGGCTGCAGCGGCGCGGGCAGCGCGCGGCACCACTGGCGCGAGGTGCAGGCCGCGCCGCGCCGCCAGATCGCCGACTGGCACAAGCTCAAGGAGTGAGCGCGCACCGCGCCACCGCACACCACCACCGTCTTAGTTTAATAATGCATTGATTTACAATTATTACAGACACATTCATTACCTATTTGAAAGGAAATTCGATGAATTGCAATGGCAGAATATCTAAATCTTAACAATACAACGACGTATCGTATCGTCTGTCCTTAATAATATTTTCTTTACAAAATCTTTACAATAATTTGATTGATTTAGTTGAGAACATTATTTTGCAAAATAACCAGCAAACCAGTTCATAAGGACAGTCGACTATCTTGTTTGTATATGTACAATGTAAAAAATTCGAATTGAGGCCTCTTTTTTTAAAATCTTATTCATCTCGTATTAATTAATTACCGGAATGAAACAGGAAACAATAGACATTCTCTCCGGCCGGCGGCAGCTCTGAACAACATTAATAATTAAGTTTGTTAATGCATTATTAAATTAGGATAGAAAGAAAAATTTAAAATTTATATTTATTTTATAAAAGGTTTAAATGGGATCTTTAACCTTTTTGTATTCATTAATTGGTTTCCTATTTATTTTCATACTACATAGGATTAGTAGTGATTAATCTTCATAGATTACTACGACTCGACAATTTTCTGAATATAAAAGTCCAAAGAAATCCTGCAATTTCGTCTTAAGCATTCAAATTTCTGAACTGCAAAAAAATGATACACCGCCAATTGAATTTAAGAACTATCCCAAACCATATGTTTCGTTACATATTTTTTATTATTAATTTATTAATCTTCACTTTTTATTATTGCACGGAGTATTGCGGTATTACAAGAAGGATGGCAAAGCCAATGTCCAGCGAATATTATGAAGGGTTGGTTTTAGCGTTAATTTGTAAACTAAATAAATGATATTGTATATTAGATAGACGAAATTATTTGAAAATTTATTCCCATCAAATGTTTTGGAATCCCCAAAGCGCACATCGGTCAACGCCCTACAACAACTTGGTGTAACGAAACATTTATGTATGTGTAGTAAATTAAGCACAGTTAAATCTTGTGTTTATTAAATGTAGATTGTCTTAATATATTGAAACGGGAGCGAAATATGCGGTCAAAGTAGCATAAATACCAAACCTGACTGTACATTTAGGGGCTTAAAAAGCCGAATAAATGTATCTATTTACCTAATATATTTAATCAAAATGTTCCACATCTGCAATAACTAAACAGACAATTATTGCTCAAAATTTGTAGTAATGAGTGCTAATTTGACTGCTAAAACCATATATTTAATAATTAATCTCTCTCGTTTCAACTTCTTATAATTACTCTACATATCTAAATGTAAGACACTTGATGTAATGGAAGTTTCAAATCGATAAATCTAAGTCTCTTTAACAACCGCTAAATTCACGTATCTACACAATGGTCTGAAGATATTTTACAACCAGCGCTGCCTGCCTGTGAATTAAGAGAATGAAGAGAATAAATAATAACCACATACCGTGTTAAGCTGCAACTGCCACAGTCACATATAATACCTCAGTTCAATTATTTTTACAGGCTTGCATTGATGATTACAAAGAATTGTAAGTCGGTGAAAGGACAAAACGTTACAAAAATGTTGTCTATGTGATGATTTTCGCTATTACAATTCGTGGTTACATTTATTTTACAGTGTTACAATTTGTTGGCCACAATAATAATGAGCAACATGAGATGAAACAATAGGTTTTTTAACATTCATCCAAATAATAACGCGCGAACTAGAAAATGACTTGTGAAAGAATACCAGAGAGTCAGAGAGCCGTCGAAAAGATACACATACAATACTCAGTGGAAACGATTAGAAGATAATGTATAGTTTATAGGTTAGAGAAATAAATCTATTTTATACCTAAAATTACTTCGATAGTTGTTTATGTAAGCTCAGAAGGAAGCTTCGAGCTTTTTGTAGCGGAATGTACCCATTCTTTAAATCAGTGTGTGTCACCATAGATGGCGCTTTTACCTATGATCTCATCTCATTTATGTATTTTTGAGTCAATCGTCATTAAATTAATGAAGTTCTTCGTTCATAATGTACCTATTATGACAAACATTAATATTGTAGTGACAATATACTATTTATTTACGAATATTCTTAATATATGTAATTAGTGTTCATGTGTACAGCCATTCACAAAAGTACATTTGAGATATTCAAGTCATTACTACAGTGTATCTTCGTTCTACTAGGGTACAATGAAACTTATTGTGTCTAAAATAGGGTGCATTATTCATCGAGGCGTGCACCCAACTTTAGCCGTAAGTATCTATAATGTAGGATCATAGACATATATTTAAATTATCATTACCATCCACTTATATAAATAGTTCGGTTATTTATTACATAAAGGTAGCACAATGTTATGTGACATAATGTGACAAATTAAGAACAGTTGCGTGCAAATATTGAACCAATTAGAATGCTGGCATTTTTAATGGCATATTTGTGCAAATATCTTTTCTATCTGTGTTTAAATTCGTTTTACATTCACCAATGAACGCAATTATTTGCACAAATACGTTGTGTGTATTGTCAGGACTACGGCAGAGACAATATATTTCTCATCTAACATTTGATCTCATCGAAAGAATTGTATTTATAAATAAAAACATAAAACTATTATTCTATTTCAATATTAAAAGTGTATTGTATAATATTGTCCTGGCTCATGTGGCCCTAACGTCATGATGGTGTTATAGTCTCCATACTTAAACATTCCATGAGAGTAATTGTAAATAGTCATTGCTTTAGTCATCAAGAAGCTTTCTCACTCTAATTGTTAAAATAAGAAAATATAATTAGATGTAAGATACTTTAATAACACTAAATGTTTCAAACTATCTCGTTTAATTTTTCTTTATATTATTTATTGTTCATGTTTATTCATGTTGTGTATTAGAAACTCATATGCTATTATTGTCGCAAGGGACTTGAATCTGTTTCATTACAAGGTATGATTGTAAGTAATTGGAATAAAGATTTCTTTGTGTGTTTTTTTCTGGAAGTAATGAAACAGATTTTAAGTCTTAATTTTGTAATATTAAGGTCGCAGTTACATTTCGTTATTGGAACACTATTTATGGTATACGTCTCTTCAGATCCTTTGATTAATGGTCTTTACTTTATTCTAGGATAGTATTTAAATAGTGTTTCATGATGTTTTGAGCCGCGACCAACGGTATATTTGGCGAAGCACTTGTAGTATATAGATCACGTCATCCACATCACCAATATCCGATTTGTATACTAAGGGAATTTTAGTGAATAAAGTTTATTGACTGGTGCTTTCACAATGATTGTTCGTTTTATTTCTTGATTCTTTCTATTGAAAAAAAAATCCTGGATAATAGATGTACTGCTGGTTTTGGGGCTTGGCCTCGAAAATGCTATTATAAATATCGCACCTCCGGTCAAATAACGTCACAACTTAAAAATCAAATGATCAAAAAAAGCGTTTAATATTAAAGAATAAGTTAGCTTGTTTAGAGCTATGAAATTAGTTTTAAACAACCTTCTAACTTGCTGATTACTGTTTTTGATATTTTTTAAATCAAGCCCAAAAAGTGAAAGCTAAAATACAATTTTAGCTTTCACTTTTATACATTTTTAAACGCCTAGATTTTTTTAATCTTTACGTATTTAAACGGAGTGGCATTGATTAGTTTGGCTATCAATACGTAATCGTTTTTATATGAATATGAAATTATATTTATTAAATATAACCACTTCTTATTTTTCTCTTTTTTTTAAAGACAACTTCCGCATATATCCTGTGTCGCAGGGAACTTTACAAACATACATGAAACGAACACCCAGACTCAGACAAACATTTTGTGGATCACACAAAGAGTGTTGTCCCATGTGGGGATTTTACTACATTTCTCCTGATATAGAAATTAAGCTATAGAATCGAAGTATAAACAGTACATATTCTGAAATATATGCAACATTTTTGGATATGTATTCTATACACTCGAGGTCATAGTTACCGTCAGGTGTAGTCGGTCCCTTTGAGGGAGTTGAAATAATATATCCTGACACGCATTATGTCAACGCTTTTATAATGTCAGACAAAATCTCGGCTCAAAGAAGAAGTGGAAAGAAATTGGCGAGTTTTGGCAACTTCTATTGGCCTCTATTATATTACTTAACCAAAGATCAATCAATAATTGCCTAGAGATATGCAACCTCTAGTATTAGGTAAATAATTTGAGTAAATATATTCAATGTAACCATAGTCAAAACTCATTTAATTTGTAAATTATTATTGTCCAAGGTTGGAACTTCTAATCGCATAACCTAAGTACATACCATATTAGGAAAAAATAACTGTTTAGTGTAACTCAAGCATGCCCAAAAATGTCTAACGAACAATCGAACTTGAGACTCAGAAATATACTTATAAATATAGTATTTTAAAACTAATCACTTTGCTTTATATCCAGAATAGATAGATCATATTCGAAGCTAATCCAACAAGTGCGTAGGCAATAAAAAGGAATAAAAATACCATAAATTCTTATCAATTGTATATTTGATATCAAATCTTATTACATATAACACAGCTTAACAAAAAATATTACATACATATTTTCGCGGCCGGTTCCACCCGTCAAAAGCACTATTGGAATGCATTTGACAAGTGAATTAGCTCTACGATCCTTAAATTGTCATGTACGAGTGCCTTATTGTGCTCAGTACTTAATAATTAGAGTCATAAAGTAGTCATAAACATATCGAAACTAGTGCCAGGTAATTAAAGAGCTTCATTTGTTAGGTATTTAAACGAAGAACGGTAGTTTATCTATAAATTAATTTTAGAAATTCTTTTTTCGTAATCGCTGCTTTCTTTTTTAGCCTTTATATAAGCGCACAGGAGTACAGGTAATCGAGCCTGAAGTACAAAAGTGCTATATTTAGACGAGCCCATTGAGCAGTTTCTTCTTTTATTAAAAAGATAACTCCCGCATTAAGAATATATCCTGTGTCGCGGGGGACTTTACAAACACACATGAAACGGACACAAGGAACACCCAGACTCAGAACAGCAATTTGTGGATCACATAAAGTGTCGTCCCATGTGGGGTTCGAACTCACAACACTCGGCGAAGTAGGAAGCGGCGTGGCGAGCGCTTAAACCACCACGCCATCCGTGCAGTCAATTAAAACTTTTGTTTGATTTGAATAATAGATCTGTGGTACTTTGAACTAAATCCATTAGGTTCGAATATTTTCAGGAGTTTCTATATTATTCGTTTGATTATGTTAATTTATTTCAGTTGAAAGGCTAATTCATGTCGTTAAATATACTTTTTTAAATATTATTACGATACAAGTTCCTTTTTTTAACCCACATACGAATATGTAGTCGCGTTGAATTCGGTACGAAAAAAAAACATGAGCTTTTAATTATCTTACTTCATTCAATGACAATTATAAAAATAAATACCATGTTTTCTCGCATACACATTATTACTGTTATAAATTTAATTTGATCGAATATCCACATTAATTATCTGGTACCAACTTCAATAAATAATTGTGTCATCAAACGCCTGCCATACAAGCTAAACAAAGTTGCAAAGTGAGACGATGCAATTAGCAAAGTTTTGTCTACGATACTGAACTAAAGTCGAAGGAAATCTGCGTTGTATAGTTTTACAGCCCGAACGAGTTCATCATTGGACTTCAGTTAATTCAATAATGGCATTTTAATTAGCCAACGGTACGTTTAGGTTAGGCCCCCACAATCGAGTACACTGTTATCCATTAGGTTTACAAAACTTCTACCTATAAGATGCTGCGAGTTTCCCATTCATATAATTTTCCATTGAATACTTAAATACAGTTTATTAAGTAGAAAAACTAAGTGCCAATTTTTCGCTTTTATCCCTTTTTTTTCCTCTACATGAAAAGCGACCGATCATTTTGAGATTCTCGGCTCCCGAAACCGAAAGGCTAATATAGATATACCAGAAGCCCTAACCCTAGGTATACACTTTCGGTGACGGCTTTAAATATTTCCGTTAAATCAACGGATTTACATTTCCGTGTGTCGTATACGTAACACCCAATTTTTGGTGAATTGTAACTGGACACAGGATTTTTGTCTTCCATTACTTAACATTTGATACGCACTGTAATGTATTTGTTGCATTAAAACATTTTTTTAAAAGAAGTTCGCGTGATGTTTTCAAAACATCAACTAATTAATTGCTAATACTTTGTTCTTTTACATTTATTTTGTAACTTTAATGTTATTATCTCATTTATTTTACAATGTGATATATATTTTTATTTTTTAATTGAATTTGAAATTACGGCACGGGAACAATACACGATAAAAGTTTAATACAATGACTTTATCGACAACGAAAAATACAGTGAACATCCAGAAGAAGCCTAACCCATATGCTAACATATAAACCACACCAGTTCTTGTAAAAACAACTATATATTAAAACATTCACTACACATCAACCCAATAACGTCTCGCAGAGACTCAGCTAGGAATTAACATTTATTACATTACACAATGATATTGTCTTTTTTAATACAATCCCTATTTGGACGTCTCTTTGATTTCATCTAGCTACGACATTTGGTGTTTTCCATTTAGAGATACACATGCATACGACAATAATAATACTTTATATATTCCTTAACAAAGATGCGGTTCGACTAGACACACACACACATAACTATGAGTGAAATACAACGCAACAAGGAAAGAGAGAGCATACTCGTACATATATATATGTAAATAACTTACAGTAAGGAATATCAAAATCACGTCATAATTAAGCGTAGAAATCACCGGGTTTTGCGTTAGTGGTAGACATTTTAGAGCATTATCGAATCTCTAATTGGAAAACGCCAGAACACCAACACAAATAGTACATAACCCTAAACAGTGACACAATTAGGCAAGAGAAAAATGTGCGTTACTATAGTGAAATATCGCACTACACTACCAATAGTTATAAAAACAATACAGTTACAAACTATGACTATCCATGTTAGTTTATTGCTAGTAAAATAATTAAGATATGAATTTAAGTTCAGATATGTTAGAACTGTGTAGATATTAAAGTTTTTGGTCCGAAGTTTTTTATATAATTTTCAAGACTTTGAATGTTATAAATGTTATAGTGATTAGTTAAATATGATAGAGTACATTAGATATATACCCTGAACATTGATATACTTCAAATGGTATTTATTACGTTAAACAATTTTAAGTTTAAATATAGGCGTTACTTGAAACTTACATAATATCATTTAGAATAACATAATTTATGATTCAACTTAACTTTTATATCATAAATAAAACCATGACATAACTAAACGTAGAGATGTCATTAGAACATCACAATAAAAAATAATTAAAATGAGGTTTGTTTATAATTCATAAGTTTTTTAATACTTAATGCAATAGGGCCTTACTGTAGGCTTAAATGTTTATTTTAGTCTATTATTTCATTTCATTCTGCTCAACTTAAAAATTAAAGTGAATTCACTCATATCTATATGTAACTGAAATGATTACGGTTTTTTTATAAAACGCAAAAATATAACGCGTCTTTCTTACACAAAAATAATTATTGCTTTTGGTCTTAGATTTGAGTGTAACAAAATGCCGTGGTATTATTTAAATTTAATATCATAAACTATAGACTTATTGGTAACTGTCCTCTAAATACTTGTTATAATACGAAATTTAAATTAATCATAACATAATATTGGTATACCTTCTAGTATATAGTGGTACAAGTTATTAAATGCATTTTAAGATAATAATGCTGTGTTTATTTAGTGTAAACCAAGGCAAGGTGTCGCATTCGACATAGACATTACAATATATTAAAATACTGGCAGAAATTACGGCAGGCAAGTTTATATTGGAAATAATTAATTTAAACAAGTTCATTGACTTTTTGATCGTGTTTCATGGATCTTCCAAGAACATTAATAAGATATATACATTTATAAGATATATACATTTATAAGATATATATGAAAATGTAATATATGCTAAACTACTCAATATTAGATGATATAAGAATAAATATTCTCTTATCAGACAAAGAAATATTATAAAAAGAAATTTAACTGTCAGTAGTTTCCAGGATAATGATTTCCCTATACACAGGGTTATTGAGTAGTTTTTTTACTACATATATATACTGTTATTATATTATATACAGGAATATATATATATAAATACAGGAATATCTTAGAATCGGGACTATGACAATAATGACAGCATATTATAAGATTTAGATTAACCGAGTCAGAAGACCGATAGGCCAATAAACATTTAAAGTTCTACAAATATAAGGAACAAACATTTTACTAATGTTATAATTGTTCATTTAATGGCCACTTAACACAGTAAACATTAACCCACTGAGTATTCGCAATAGTCTTCTTAATATAAACGTCAAAGTTTGGAATCACAGACAAGTTCTTGAGAGAGCTTTTCCAATGACGTGTTTTATAAAGACACAAATAATAGTACATTTATACTAAAACATAATGCTTAAGCAATAATGCCCTACATAGCTAAACTGACTGCAATTTAGATTTGATATAAACTTAGCCAATTTACAAATCACAATATCTAAATTTCCAGCCTGTTATAGCAAATTGAAATATCGACTGTGAAAATTGCATCTACAATCTCGCTATAAATATCATAAATAATAAAAAAATCTCCATTTGTGGAGATAACAATATTGTAAGTGATCCCATTGTCCGAGCTTCCAAGGACTTCGGTCCCAACGGCCGAATGGCGACATTACGTCCAAATTATATTGGTACGCTTTACTTTGATGGTTTTAAGGACGGCACAGGATGTTTTAATGTGTCGGATTATAGAAGGCCTCTGTCTAGTTCCTTCCGAAGCATCCTGGATAGTTTGAGAACGTCCTCATCGACCTGGCCTGCGAACAGAGAATCTAGGAGCTCACCTCGTGATGCGAGAGCGAATATACCGGCAAGCCGTGACACTGATTTGTCTGTCAGGTGTCGCTCAACTACTGACCTGGAAAGTTAATATGAGTTTATTAACATGCTATAACGAGATGACATGGTTATCGAACAAAACGTAGTAAATTGATTTATTATTTTGGTTCAATTGGAAATAAATGCAAGGAAAAAAGAGAATCAAAGAGATTCAAAAATAGAATAATTGTAACCAAGCTATAAATCCTTTTAAATAATTTACAAGTTCTTTTAGTTCAAAGCTGTAAACTTACTTAAGGGATTGATGAGCTTCGCGAAGTGCGTCTTGGAGAAAACCGCGGTCGTAAGAGAAATCAACTTCGCAAAAAGATACTACAGCCATCAGCACGGTCTGAAAGGTAAATTTGATGAGTAATATTGTGAACATGCTTGCATATATATACTCGTATCTTATGATGATTCGATTACAGTTCAGGTTATGAATCGTCTTGATCTATATTACTTTAGCGTAGTTTTTTATATATAATTTTATAAAGTTATAATAGTGGAAAATATATATTTAACTGAATAGACATATGTATATTTATATATTATATATTTATATTATAAAAAAACCGGTCAGGTACGAGTCGAACTCGTGCGCCGAGGGTTCCGTACCTACCCAGATTTTACGTAGATTTTCGCGAAATTTGTAAGTACCAAAATTTATCTTAATTTTCAACTTTTTTATTTTTTGAAATTTATCATTTATTCGTGCTGTAAGACGTTTATTTTTTGCCAAATTTCGTGATTCTAGGTAAACGGGAACTACCATACTCGTATAGGTTTTCGACCCAAAACCTATAGGGTACTTCGGGTTGACCTAGAATTGTCAATTTTGTTTAAAAGCAAGGTCTTACAGCACAAGTAGAGATAAAATTCTGAAAAATAAAAAAAGTTGGAAATTAAAGTAAATTTTGGTACTTACAAGTTTTCGCGAAAATCGAAATTAGCCCATCATTATCATCTTTTTATCGTGTTAACTCAGGACCTTCGATTTTATACACCTAATAGGGCCTACAGACCTTAGTATCTGGTATAAACTTCAACTTTCTAGGTCTACCCGTTCCTAAGAAAATCGGTGGAGACACACGGACAGACGGACAAGAAAGTGATTTTATAACGGTTCCTTTTTTACCTTTTGAGGTACGAAACCCTAAAAACAGGATAGAAAGATCTAACCCCATTTTTTTTGCCATGTCATGTATATTTACTAAAATTTTGTGCACCTAATCACTCACAACAACTCTTCTACAAAACCCCAAGGTAGACTAGACGGGAATGCTAATGGCATTAAGTCCACCTTAGTACATTTTTTGTGCATAAAGCAATAAATAAAAAAAAAAGATATAGTACTCGAAAACTTGGACCAAACCCTATACCAACCCATTTGGCCAGCGTAATATCATAGGGCAAAACGTCATTTCTAAGGAGAGGCACATGCCCAGCAGTGGACTATTGAAGACTGTTAATGATGATGATGATATAGTACTCCTACGTATGTAACACAAGTTGCTTTTGGTAAGTCCTTTTGGTAAGTCCTTCTAACACAAGTATAAGCATTTAAGTAAGCTTCACGTTCATATTGTAACTGGTGGGTTTCGAACCCATGGGGTTCTTAAATAATAAATTCACGCCACCACAAGGCTGTCTAAAGCTACCTAGAGCTTATGCTTGGTACAATCGGAACACTTACATGGAATTTGGAGCGGAAGGCTTCCAATGCTCGCTCATCCGCGGCAGACAATTGATTGTGACGTCGCAGAACACCTAGTTTAACTGCTGATTTGATAACGTGCTTCACTAACTTCTCCGCTTCACGTTTCTCCACCCTCTGGCGAAGTACTGTCAAAAACTGAAAATTTTATGACAAAATTATTAGTAATAATAAAGTATAAAAAAAATTGGAGTATTTAATCATAGGCTGCTTGAAGACTTCTTTAATATCTGACTGGACAGTATTATTAGTTACTGGTGCTGTTTGGACATACAATCGACAAATTCATCATCTTTATTATGTTAGTTATAACAGATAAGAGATATACCTGATCAAGTAGTTTGGCGGCATGCTCGTCAAGTACTAAAGAACGCGCACTGGCCGCGCCACCAACCCGCGACAGGAACTTCTTCTGCGCACGGAGAGAGATGTCGCGCGCGCACCACGCGCTGCCTTCCATTGCTAGAAAGAGAGAAAAAGAAAATAAGAGACCTAAACACTGAAGTTAATAACATTGCTATAGTCAACAATGTAAAATCAATAGTTATTATTCGCGTCAAAAATTGTGTTTCATTAAATCGGTTCTTTTTCTCGGACGACTGGCGTTAGTGAATGCGCCACAGTTTTGAACTACTGCAGTCACTATCAAACTCATTGTTATCTGTTCCAAATGAAAGGTTTTTCTAAATCGGTTGTTAACGCCTGCTATTATTACAATAGCAATGCGCGGGCGACAATAAACTTAAAAAGTATACTTGACCTTCATGTCCTACTTCATATCATTAAAGGACTTACAAGTCATTGCACTTTGTTACTTAGAAATAGACGTATCATTAGCAGCTAACATTTTTTTTTATATTAAAGTATGACTTGGCGTAAAGTAATCCACTTAGTCCAAAAATATATTAGTTTTATATTAGATAGATAGACGTACTTTTTGAACAATGGTCGATCACGTAATCACTTAGAAATACCGGTCCTTGGAACTACCGTTTCAAAATGACCTAGCCTAAATGACCTATAGTCTACTGCAGCTAATATAGGCCTCTCTATACTACGCTGGCCAGACGGGTTGGTAAAGAGTCTTTGCAGTGCTGTTGTCCTGTGAAGTTTGCTCCCTTAATCGTCTCTTACGACACCTACGGTATGAACAGGGGTGAGGACATACCGTGTTTTTAATCCGCCACCACACGGACGGTACTGTGGTTATTGGATTAAATTATGAAATGTATGGTTTATACACGTAGCACGCACCACAGATGGTAACAATTTCTTCCAGAATTTATTTCAATTTGCTGAACAATGAGCGATTGTACGTTCAATTGAATCTGTTTGAAGTACGACAATGTGCTATGAATCACTAGGTTGAATAGCTTCAACGTTAAACATTGTTGACTGAAATCCTTTAGACATGCGATATCTTTAAAACAGTTTTTTTTCTTTCGTGTTTTTAATTTTCAAAATGTCTACTTTCTATACAACCGCTCAACCTTTATTTTACCCCCTTAGGGATAAAATTTCCAAAAATCCTTTCTTGGTGCATGTTTACAACATAAAATTGTCAGCTGGCAAAATTTCAATTAAAGACCCAGCTGTTTAGGCTGTGTATAGGTGAATCTGTTCGTCAGGGCAATTCATTTTGAATGTATAGATAATAAAAATATCTTGGACGTTATATTCTTTTCATGTTCAAGTCATGTTGTCAGTTCCTAGACTTCTTTCACTGTTGTTATGTTGAAAGCAATGACATCCGATACGACAGTTATATACATATGTAAACCAAAGTACGCTCTGATTGTTCTGACATCAGCAATTAAATACATTCAATGTAATATCAGTTTTCACACAGACCGAGGCTTTCTTTTTTTGGATTACAGCGGGTAACATTGGACATAGTTTAACTTTGGTTCAAACTGTTACCCGATTTTACTCCTTTTCTACGTGTGCTTGAGAACCATGAAACGACTCTAAAGGTGGAAGATTTGATCTAATTGTCTATAAAAGCTCTATAACTTTACACTGTGAAAACAGGGACTAATATTTTTAACTTTCTCTTAGTTTAAGACGGACTAATACGTAAAACTCTTGGGCCATGTTATGAGACCTAACGGTAAAAAATAAGTCTCATTCATTATAACATTTTAAAACCGGTATGTTCTGTTTTTTTCTTTTCAATATTTAAATAAACTCTATTAGATTAAATTTCTACACTGATTGTAACAAATCCCATGGTTACCGAATTTAATTGAACTCGGCTCGTAATCTAAGCCTTTAATTTTCAATTCGCTACCGAGGCCCAGCGTATCTGTATTGTTGTGTGTAAACATCAATTTGTGTTGACCAAGGGCGACTGATGAGAAAATGGATACCGGATATTACGATCATGTTTTGGTAAAGACGAACGAAGTATGGTAATAAATAATAAAATAATAATAAAATAAAAAAAATAGACTTAGAAGTCCATATTAAGTTATATAAAGAGAAAGAGAAGCAAATAGATAATATACGAAACTTTAATAAAGATTTTTTGACGCCAATGTGACACACAGCTCTTCATGCTAATTATCAAAAGACCCATGATTTAGGCGTCCTATTAAGCTGTTGGGGAAGACTTGACAAGCCATAACAAACACAAGAAAATTCCCTCAGGTAAATTACACCATTTTCTATGTTTAGGTACTTTTTAAATTTCACGAGGTTTTGTCACGATGAACAACATCGAGAATCTTGAACGGCATTCCAATAGATATGTAGGGACTCACGTATCTCTCTGTAAGAGTGCATGTGCAAGCGTTAGCCAGTCTGTGTACCACTCGGTTCGCACGCACATGCGTATGATTTTATTCTTTCATTATATACAACCATAGTGGAGACTTAAGAGAATCATATACCTTACAGATCTACGATTATTATATTAGGTTTATTTATTGGCAGTAATAGTTCTGCCAGTAATAGCTCGACCAAAATACGATATGGTAGGACCATTTTCGAGATGTCGGTCGGTCTGTGAAATGATACTTTTTAATTTACAAGATTGTATTTAAGGTTAAGTATATGTTTGATGTATATTCCTTTAATTTTTAGGTGTCAATTTGTCACTATATGACGAATTTGACTTTAAGAATTAAAGACGGTATTCACAGACCTTGCCATATGACGACAAATATACGAATGAAACTTGACCATATAAACACTACATGTAGATAAAAGCAGGAATTATTGAAATGAATAAAATTATTAACAGGTGAAACAATGTCGAATAGACACATTAGAATAAAAATAGAATATGTTTAACAACATGAATGGCGCACAATAAAAGTTATAAACATGAATATTTAATTACCATTTTGTCCTGAAAATACAAAAAAAACAACTGTCGTGAAAATAGGTCTTTCATGATTAAGTCTAATTAAACAGTGCCAGTTGAAACTAGTAGGCTATTTCAAGCACTGTGTATGCACGAACTAGTTTTTTTATAACAAAAATTAACCTAATTTAATATTAAATTTGTTATTACGGATATTTCTAGTCTATAACTGTACCACCATGGTTTTTAAACCTCTTTAATGTTACGTAATCTAATTTTGATACATGTTAAGACATGTTATTTATTAAAATGAAATCTTCTAACATGTAACAAAATTAATTTCATTAGCAAGATATAAAAGATTTTAAGTGGTTCTTTATTTGAAATATAAAAAAATATTATTGTTCCACATATGTTATGTGGTTTAGTTTATAGAAATAAATGGACAATTATTAAGCAGAATAAAATTTAATCTATAAGACGTGAAAATGTCGCCCTAAAACCTCTTTACATTCCAGAAGAAACGAATAAAGTTTTTTCGTATTCCGAACGTGAGTGATACACGATATTTAAAAAAAAAACGGCCAATGATTTATTAGCCATATATTACTATTACTATTTCAATACAATTCTCGTGTCCTCAGAAATCAAAACGGCCAACTTCAGCGTTAAACAATCAATTGAAATGTTAACAGAAACTTATGATATCGTCTGGTATTCCTCACTTGCTGTAGTCGGCAGAACATTTAACTATTTAGCTTACTGTAATCTATGAAGTTTGCAGATACCATCTGTACAAGTTTAATATCAAATATTACTAGTAAGTAGTTTGTTAGGTATATACTTGATATTAGAGAAGCCTTCTGGTCTGACGTATAATCAATGTGATAAACAATAAACACGTCAGTCCTGTATTTTAAAATGTTGTACCCAAGTAAACCATTATTTAGAAGACCGCAATGAAACGACACTACCGGTGACGTACTTTTTTATCTGATGGGGGCATAGAGTTCCTCTATGGATGGATGAGATGAGATGGTACGTCGTGGGGAAACGGGGCTGGGGTTGCGAGAACAAGGCCCCTTTACTCCATATTCTGTTTAATATTTAACCATCTTAAGTAGTCTGTTGAGAGTAGCTATTTTCCCCTTCACAGGTATCTAATTATGATCGACAATCACTAAGTCGATAATCAATAAGGCTCAACTCCTGGGAAACGGCGGCCGTAGATCGACACAGGCATATAATGGATTGACTTTGCTAAATATTTGACAAAACAGAGTGCTATTATGTGTATTGATCTGTGATTTTAGAGTTTAAGACATTTTTGAATCATCTTTATTTATTTTATTATTTTTTTAATTAAAGATATTTTGAGTCTGAGTTTGAAAGGCTTCATTACATAACGGCTATAATTTTAATTGTTGTGAGTCACCGTAATAAATTCGGATTTATAATTGGCGTCACGTAATTAAAAGTTAGTTTCATCAGGATATTTTTTTCAATTATTACTTTTAATGTCTTAAATTTCTTAGAGTTAGTTCTATGATATTTTAATGATACCGAATTTATTCATAAACCACTTAATATCGTATTTATATTTTTTGTCTAAGAAATGTTTAAGTTGACAACGATTAAAGATCGGTATAATCAGTTTCGGTAACATCGGTAACAGCACTGCAAAGAGAAGGAAAACTTGATACAAACCCGTCTGGCCAGCGTGGTATAGTAGGCCAAAACGTCTTTTCTAAGGAGAGGCCTATGTCCAGCAGAGGACTATTAAACGCTGTTAATGGTGATGACCATCAGTTTTCCTCTATAACGATGATCACTTTCATTCTTGCCATGCCCCTCGTCATCTATAGTCTATGTATGCATATATTATACCGTATTCTCATTTTGAAATTTATTATAATATTTTTTTTAAGATCAAACAGCAACAAGAGGAATAAAGTAAGAAGTGATTAAAATGAAAAGAAAAGAGTTAGTCCTGCTTAGTAGTTATAATGTTAATGAAAGACTGTAAATTATATTTTTAAAACATTATAACACAAACATTTTAAGCAACGTTCCAGCATTATTTACATTTCAAACAGTGTTGAAGTAAATATTTAAGCGAGCCAAGGTTTCGAAAATTCATCACAAGATAGTGATCAATGCAGATGAAATACCCAGACGTTAATAGAGCATTATCGTTCCGAGCTATTTAAGTTCTTTTTACAATGTGTGTGTTCGCAATCCGTGTAATTATTTTCAGTATAATGTTATGGAATTGTTATGTACGAATAACAGTTGCCTGCAGCTTCACTTGCGTTAATACCTTGATTGAGTGACAAATGTCTATCTACAGTTACATATTTATAATAGCAGTAAGAATCATGACGTTGCTGTATGTGCCTTATAAGATCTGAACTTGTGGCAGTGACTTGAGAACGTTCAACACAAAAAGTTACTTATGTTTCAATTATGTTATATACAAACAAGTGGTAGGATAC